TGGCCCCAAAGGCTGCCTGACCCATATAATCACATTTGTCATGTAAAATGGACCATAAAACATGTATCACACGACACTTTCATATTGTGACCCCCCCGTGACCTGACCTCTGTGACCTGACCTGGTATCAGTGACCTCAAATAGCAAAATATGTGTTTGAAGAACATTTCCCCATCGATGATTTTCAATGAAATGCATTTTACTCGATTTTACAACGCATTTCTTGAAGTGCCTGTAAACGGTGAAAATTGGACCTTTGACCTGACCTGTGACGTCATCGGTTTGACCTAGGTCAACAAAATTGGGTCACAAGGTAGTTCCCCGTTGGGGCTATCCAACGCCGTTTACCGCTTGTCGCTATGTTGCGTGGTTCTCGAGATCTTAGGGGGGGCCAAAATGGCCCCCCCCCCCAACCGGGCGCGTTGCTCGGCAGAGCCCAACGGGGCGCGGGTTAATGAGTGTCACAACTCACGAGGATCCAGTTTGAAGAAGGCATTTTTCTTTGTCAAAATAGGTATACCTACAGAAATACTGGTACGTCGTGGGAAAATACTGATAGGAAAAAAATAATTACCCAAATAATAAAAACATGTTGAAATATTTCCACACATTACACGCTTTTATCGTCATCGACTACTGACCCGTTCGCTGAGTGCGTTGTATTTGATGCCCAGGTCATCTCTATCCGCCCGAGAGGCCGACAGCATGTCCTGCACAGAGGCTAGGTCACGCTGGAGCGCCGCGTTGGTCCGCTGGGAACAGAAGTCAAGGTCAGGTGGTGGTCCTGATAACACGGGTCAAAGTGAGATGATATGCCGCTGAGAATAGGGGTTCGGGTCGGATGGTGTGGTGATAGTAACAGAGCACAACAGATATCATCATGTGGGATGCAGTCTTTACTCAAAATAGACAGCTTGACAAGGTCTAAACCCGGCAACTAACGATGATGAGATGACCTATAGTTATCGTGAATTTAAGTCAAACATGTGTTTTTATTGTATTACATCAGATGCCGATAAAATGTATCTTACAGTTGTATCTATCTGTTATGTGTAAAAACTTAGTGAAAATAAATCGCTATCGGAGAGAGAATTTTCAGGGCACCAAACATCGGTCCCAAACCGGTACCAGCCGGCTAAAACCGGTAGCGCGCCGATACATTTTCCCCAAATACACATTGTCAGCAGAGCCGCGGCCGACTCGACTTTGGTTTCTGATAGTAAAAAGGCGGCCACAGCCGCGGCGGTTGCGGCAGCGTTCGGATAATTTCCATCGCAAACACGGTGCGGTGTGCAGAGTGCCGGCTGACGACAGAGGGGCCAACTTGGGGGCGGCAGGGGCCACCCAGGGGTGGAGGGGGCTGCACTGAGGGATGGAGAAACCACACTAGGGAGGGGGAGGGCGATATGGGACGGTGGAGAGTCGGTGGAGGACTATAGTGGGTCGGATAACAGGGAGTCAGTTGATCTGTGAGAGACAGAGGTCTATCGGGGGAATGACCCGTTCCTCCTGATCCGTTCGTCGAATCAGGAGGACGTTGGACCTGATAAAGGAGAGTACCTAGAGATTGCTATTGATGACTGGATAATGGATATTGAGATATGTCAACGACAAATGCATAGAAAAAAAAAATGGAATAAAACAGGTTGTATTTATCGGCCTGGATTTTTACCAGAAGTCACATGAGGGCTGCTGTCAACATCAGAGGTGTCCTCTAACCCGTACATGTTTATGTTCAGACAACAGCGCAGCGGCATTGGCAGGGTGGTGGTCGAAAACAACAGCAACATACTGTGGAATGTGGTGATAATACGAAGCTTTCATTTGCTCAGCTGCTCTCGAAAAAAAAAACATGGAAACCGTGGTACTTTTCAGACATATGCTTTATGGAAGTTTATGCCATAATTGAGAAAATGTTTTCCTTGGCGCTACGACTAGGCCTAGGGGATAAACCAGCCTTTACAGCAATGCGTACCGGTTCAGAAGCTCTCACCAGTGGCAGAAATTGATAGCGTCAGCGGTTAATTACGGAGCGAGCGAAGCGAGCGGAGTCTCATACTGAATTAAGGGAAAATCCTGAGTATGAGCGCCTGAGTATGAGCGTGGGGACGCTCTTCAAAAGCTAATATCTTAGGAACAGGACATCCGATTGACAAGCGGTCTTCTTTACTGAATGTCACTTGGACGTAAAAGTTCTGTGGTGTGATGGCCACCATGCGTTCTTGCCAACCACCGCACGTGGCGCGTGGTAAAGTTGGACATTTTTTAAGAACCCCCAAAATTGCAATAACGGCTCAATAACGGCACAACGGTTGGGCCGATTGAATTGAAACTTGGTACACAGTTAGGACTCCATCAGATAATTCATCTGCATGTGTTAAGGTTGGGGTGCTACAGCACGTGCGCACGTGCAGGGGGCGCTCCCAGATCTCGAGAACGGCTGGGCCGATTGCGCTCAAATTTGGTACACGGTTGGGGACCAGTTAGTAGGGTGCCGTGCAAAAGTCAGTTTGGACCCGCTTGCACGTGCGCACGTGCAGTGTGCCGCGTCCAGATCTCAAGAACGGCTAGGCCGATAGCGCTGAAATTTGGCACATCGCTAAAGACCGGTTAGTAGGGTGCAGTGCCCAAGTTAGTTGGAGGTACCCCCTCGCAATTTCGCACGTGCAAGGCCCATCCTCTCGCTCGCTCCGTTGGTCGCCCAGAAGGCGTTTTACTGGTTAATATGTCATATCACTTCAAAGGTCACAGGGAAAACTACCTTTGCATGAGGATCCTCGTCAAGGCTCGGCAATTTCACCAGACACACCCAGTCCTCACCTCCAGCCGGGCCACTCGGTCCGCCTCATCCATGTCTTCCTCGACGGGCGTCTCCCGGCGGCGGACTCCGTCCCGCGCCGCCCCCGCCCCCGCCGGCGGAGACTGGCCGCCCCCGCCCCCGCCCTGAGACAGGACAGCCTCGGCGCGGGCCAGCGGCGCCGGGCGGGCGGGCCGCGACTCGAGGGTGATTCGACCGGCGGCACCGCGCTCTGTGGGATCTGGGAGAGGTGAGGGGGGAGGTAGGTCAGCTGGAGGCACCGGAAAGAATGGGTGAAAAGACGAAAAAAGAGAATGAATAAGATAACTTTGGATGTAAAAAAATCTCACATCTTCTTAAACCAATAATTTTGACATGAAAATTAAATGCATTAGGCAAAATCCGGAAGGAATACAATAACGTTCTAAAGGTGACAATAAACGAAACAAGCATCCTAAGTCGAGCTGTAGGCACAGCTGTCATGAATCTCATCGATAAGTCAAGCACACTCCGAAATTACATCACGGGGTCGGCGGTATCGGAAAGAGCTACCTACACATTTGTTCCCAATTACACACAGGTTACGGTCATGAGGGTCAAGATGTGTTCATCCCAATGAAATGCGCAGTAGCTCTAAGAAAATTATCAATTATCTATTCCGACAGAACCCACCACCACCAGCGCAAGAGATGTCAGTGGATGTGTCGAGTGCACTGTTCATCCCATCCTTGCATCACTTTTCAACGTTTTTGGCAAACCGGCCGCTGACGAAGCTCTTTCAACAGCTGAGCGTGAAACACTTTACCGAGATGCGTGATCACTGACTGGACTGGCCACGTGATCGATACAAGGTCCAGAGAGCGTGGCAAAGGCTCAAGTGAACGGCGTAGTGGTTTTCTGTTCTTTTTTAGAAGTTGCGCTTGCGACGCATTAGAAAATTTATTGTTATTTGAACAACATATGCATTCATATGCATTATGGAGACAGCATTCGGAAAATGTGAGAAAATGTTATCCTTTAAATTAAAAGGATATCAGATCATGTTGTCGGTGAATGCTTATTTTTCGTTTTCTAGAAACACAGCACAATTACCTAACATAGCAATGCATAACTTCATTTTGCATTTTTACTCGTGCCTACCAACTAATGGCTGTAGCATTTCATTTCGGGAAGTTTGGCCAGTTTTCTCACAAAAAAAACACTATCAACTCAGTAATGCTAAAAGGCCCGTGCGTGTAGAACTCCTTCCAACTCCAAAACCGGAACGAACTAGCTTAGCGAAAGCTCTCCATCAAACGCATGACATTTATATTGCTCTGAATGGGTCCAGCAAGTACACTTGCGAATTAGGCCGCATGATGACGTCAGCCAGGTTGATAATGGTTATCATCATTTTGCAGAACGTGCGTAACGCGATACGGTGGTACACCTAGCTCAACAATCGATGCTGTGTTATCTCGGCGACTTGTTTCTCCAAAAGACTGAAGATACTGCGTCGATTCAGCTACGCAGCAGCAATAAATCGAAAACATCTCGTGACACGTGTCAATAAGGAACAGCCAGCCCCCGCCGAATTCTGCTGTCCTGTTGCTACAGATTCCGTTCAAACATCGAAGGTTAGCGTTAGCAACAACCAGACTCGCGTCGAAACAGCCACCCAGCAACTGACCCAATTCACCCCCCCCCCTCCCCGAACACTTTTGACCATCGATGTGTGATAAACACAACACCCTGTCGGCACTGTGACTCATGTGACCTGGCAGTCAGTAGCAGCCCGGAAACCACGAGCGACCTCCCAAAGTCACATTGACGGTGACATTGGAGAGTCTCCCAGCGATGTTTTCCATGTGGCGGCTCTCAGGCGCGGGGCCGAACCGGGTTGGTACGATATAATGTTTGCCAGCCACTGGGAGTTGCAGGAATGCGATTGATAAACAAAAACATCTGGAGAGGCTCTCGAAAGAAGCAAACAAGTTCAGAAGTCAAGATGATCGAAATAGAAACAAAATATCAATGTAAAACGGGCAGAGCAAAAGTATGTCATTTTGAACCGACCACTTTATGTACAAAAAGGTCGCTCGATTGTGATCCAGTGATAGCCTTGGTGATCTAGCATTGACCTCAGTGACCCATTGATGACCTCAGTGACCCAGTGATGACCTCAGTGGCTCAGCATTGACCTCGTTGACCCAGCACTGACCTCTGAAGGTGACCCGTCGGGACTCGTCCTGTTCTCCCAGTCTCCGGTAAGCAGAGTCCTCCTCCGCCGACCTTCCCGCCTTGGTTGGGTAACTGGGGTCGGCTCCCACCCGTACCGTGTGCTCCCTCTGCACAGGACAGCCGTCCGCGGCGGGGGGCGTGGCGTCTTCAGAGGCCTGCTCATGCAGCGGCCGCTTCACCTGCGGGCAGAGAGGCAGCTGTTATGGGAAACTGATCTCACAGAAAATATCTCATAAAAATAACCCGAGTGGAAATATTCGGCGATATTAAACTTCTCGGCCAGAGAACAGACACCCCAGGAATTTCAGACTATTCTGTCAGTTTTAGCCAGTCAGGGCGCCACCGAACACGTATTTCGTCACAGCATTGTGCGTGCGCCGTCCAGTGTCTACTTCGCGCGCTCTCGGGAAAGTCATCAAAAGGCAAACAGTCGATCACAACCAGCCCGCGTGTACGACTGCGTGATAGGGTGCCTCGGTGACTCATTTCCACACAGTGTGGAAAAATGGGAAAGTGAGTGTCCAAGTCCAGGGACCGGTCAGACAGACGGCCGGCGGTTACATCAGTCAGAGGTCACAGGTCGATCAGAGGTCGGCCGGGCGGCGCACAGGTCAGGGGGCAGCCGGGAAACTGACCCAGTCAGCAGTCGCAGATCAGATTCTGACAATTCGCTCGCCATACCGACCAGTCGCCAAGCGAGCGAAGATTGCCGTCGTCAGATCTAGCAACTGGATATAACTGGATATTTCCTGAGACTGATCAAAATTTTACATCGTCTAGCATGAGATTGATCGGCAATCAATGCGACTCACATCCGTGTTCTCTATCCTCAGGACGAACCTTAGCCAGGCGAAGTCAGTGAGGGGACCGGCCGTGCGCGGCTATGTGCGCACGTTAAACTTTGGACTCTAAAATTCTGCCATAGAACCGGAATTGCGCGATCGGAGGGTAGAGGGCAGGGTCAGCGCAACACGCTTCGCTTAGCGGGGGCTCTGTTCTTGTAAATCCTTCCAATCAAAAAGTTCGGACTAAATAAAAAAAAAAACTATCCTCATACTCGAGCATATTGCAATGTCCGGGATGATGGTCGCCTCATCAGACAACTGGTGAATGGTCCGCTACTTGGAGCATCGACCAACCCATCCGGGGTTACCGTTTGAGACTGGGCAGCCTGTCCTACCGGAGCACTTCCGTCACAATATGTGCCGGTTCAGCCACTGCGGCGAGGACGCCGGTGGTCGACAGTCCAATGTCTCACTAATTGTTTCATCCCACGGCCATGAAGTGGTCGTAATAAACGGAAATGGCATAACCTCCTCCCAAGGAAAACAAGATGCAACCAATAACAATAAAAGAGCTGTCAAAATGAAGTGGAAATTCATAATGTAGCGTAGCTCCTCGAACCTTCATCGGGTGGAAAAGGTGGGGAACATAAAGGCAAGCTAGGTTGCTTGATCACGTCAACAAAACCGTATGGTGGGAGGTCGAAGCTAACATGCAATAATAAGCCTCGTCTGTCTGATGTATGTAAGACTTAACGTAGGTATACCACGAGGGCGAGGGCAATAATAAACAACTAATATTAAAAGTTTCGGACGGCGATTGAAATCATCGAATCAAAATAGAAAACAGCTCGGCTGTGTCGTTTTCTCCGAGCTACTCCAAACAGAGACGACCCATCACGTCCTACATGACCACAGCATAGCAGCACAGTCGGCAGCCGGCAGTCTCCACGGCAACCGGCGTCCTCCGGAACGGAGGATCAGTGGTCCTTCGATAGCCAGCTGATCGACTGGCTGATGAAAACCAGCGTCCAATAAACACCAGAACCGGCAGCGACCGCCAGGACCGCCCCTGCCCCCGCCCCGGGCGACTGCCCCAGCGGTCACCGCGCCGCTCCTCGGGAGACTTCTCATGGCAGTGCGCAGTACGATGCATCTAAAGAACGACTGTCGGGACCCGAAAATGTCGGCTGGGAGAAGGCTACTGCATGCAACTTGAATGTTTTACGGTGTCCGTTTTTTTTTTCGTAAAGCGCAGGATGGATTGATATTACTGAAATTCATGCCTGATATCTGGCATCAATCTTCGTAGGATATGACTCACACCAATTGTGGTTGAAATAAGAGCGTCTAGCGTAGGTACGGTCAATATATTGACAAACTGTCTTACCAGAGATGCAAAAAAAAAGCTGACAATGTAGGCCTCAAAGCAGCACCTCAATGCTGAATACCGCCCTTATTTTTCTAATATAAGTAAATTTTCCCCAAATATCGGCCATCGGCGGCAGAACTTTGCCCTGGGGTAGACTCCTCCTTCTTGGATCAGTCAGTGTTCAGCTGATGTAAATAGGAGAGCACCGACCTTTGGACCTATGTTCAAACTGCGCAAGGCTTCGGACAGTCTGTACTGCATTACACGTCCATGACCCATCGTCCACTGTGCTACAAGCATAATTTTAGCACCACGTCCATGCAACCATTAACTTTTGCTCAACATTTTTAGCAACTCTTGCGTTGGAATTTCATACACCCGGAATTCTGGAGAAGTTATGACGTCGCAGTTCGGGGTAAACGGGTCACGTGAACTCAGCTCGACGGGGCGACTTTTGGACTCGGCGCGGTGGTCGGTCACTCGATAGGAGAGTGACGGTCACTCAGTAGGGGAGTGACGGTCACTCAATAGGGGAATGACGCGTCAATTTTGATAACGGACGGTCGGCCACTCGATTTAAAAGGCGCATGACGAGAGGAGAATGACGTACGAATACGACCGATCACTTCTGGATGACACGATCACACTGTTAGGGGATCGCTAACCAGTCGCGATGGAGGGATCAGGGGCGATTGGAACGGAGCATCAAGGATGTAGTCACATAAGACAGAATGGTCAAAGAATGACACCGCTCACGTAGGCATGAGGAGTACCCGCGACAGCGTGGCCGCAAATGACCAGTTGTATGCATCAGGTGGAAAATGTCAGTAGTCCATAATGCATAACAGAAAGTCCAGAAGATGACACACTTCAGGGTCGTATCTCTAGGAAGGTGACACATTCGGAGATGTAACAGATCGTTCAAAATTCACCAGAGCGGGGTACAGAAAACGAGAGCAGATGGAGCAGCTTCCCGGTAGCGGAACGGTTCCAAGTCTGACAGAAAACAGGACAAACTATTTCAGCCACCCAGTTACTAGCAAGCTTTGCGTCAACCGAAGGGATTTGAGCAGGAATTATGAGCCAAATCAACACTGATAAAACACTTAGAAACAGTAGCAGCTCACATATGTGTGTTCACATCAGCTTTGTAATACACTAATACAGACATGTGTTATCCACATTAAAACTGATTGTTTCAAAAGACTTTCATGTGATGTAAACACACATTTTGTCTACTGATGCCCCATAGAGGGTGATGTAACACGCTGTTTTGCGGTCATATTACCCTTTCTCTTTCCGGATGAGGTGTAAAATGTTACACCCATGCAAAGTTAAAGTTCCCTAAAGCCAGCGCCCAGTAGAGCATGCAAATGCAGGTCATAGAAAATGTTGCACTTTGCAGCTTGCGATTCAAAAAACAGGATTTCATTTAGACCATGGGTGACATTAAGTATAACAACATTACGCATAATCAAAAATGCGTAATCAGTCTGTGACAAGAGTGCTGAGACGAGCGTCTGGTCACCTGTCCTAGTTTTCAATCCAATAAATTGGTCTGATTAGGTCGCGACCAGCTGTTTGTCCCATTTCGTGCAAGTCGCCAGGGCACGTCCAGCCGTTGACCAGTTCAGCGCACCACCCCCGAGACCGCACTGGGACCACAACACCGGGCGTGCCTCCCTCTCCCTCCCGTCACTACCGAATCGATCGCTGGTGTCCACGTGCCGGTTCCACCCTCACCGCCGCCTAGCAACGGACGTCATGGATGCCTGAACAGATAAACACACGGCAACGCGGAGTGTGGCAACGGGGCCGGCGACATCAGCTGCACGTGGATAGGGTGCTGCAGAGGAGGTAGACCCATGGGTGATATCACCACCAGCAACACTGACAACATGTCGGGACAGAGTCGAAGCTGTACCTGGAGTTACTTTATTGGGGTTATTAATCAACGGATCGTACTGTTGATGAGTAAGGGTAGCGCTATCTAGAAAACGGTGTGCAATTACAAAAGATCCTGCCATACCGTATTGATTTCGACTTAGCACTAAACGCTTGATTAATTGCTAATTTGCTGACTGTGTTGGTATAGATGCAACCCTCCTATGTGAGCATTAACGAAAGTGCACTGCCTAGTATTTTGATCGGACAATGAGAAACAGGAAACTGGCATTTTTAACATGATAATAAAGCACATCACAGCCTCACTAAGCATTAGGAGTGGGGCACCACGGAGGCAGTTGATGAGACAAGTTTGATGCACCTGTATGTGGGATTATATAAAATGAAAGCAAGTGACTGCTAAGTACCTATACCCCGTTGAGCCCCTAGCTCGTGACCGAACCAAACGAAAAATAATGTTACACGTCGAAGTTTCGCTCACAAGTTGACAAATCACAGAGCAACTGAGAGGCCCAGACGGGAACGGCACCCCGATAAAAAGGCAAAGAAACGCCCCCGGCAATCGGTGTGGCCTCTTGTTTGTCAAAAATCTGTGGATGCATCTGCTGAGACAGAGGTCTGCGCAAAAACCGGCGAGTGGCGGTCGTGAGGCCCTCGGTTAGGGTGTCCGATAGGATATCGACAGCACAGCACTCCCACAGGGTCCTCTTGGCTGGCTGTGTTGACGGGTCACAAGTGAGATCTCAAGTATGGTGGGTGTGTCGCTTGAACAAATATTGCTTTGAAGGGTTGCTCAATGTCCAATGTTGTGGATGGTTTTATGTTGATAGCCGATCGTCAACAACTGATGCATTAGCAGATGGGTAAGTGATGCAGTTGCAGACAAAATGGATATACGTATTTTCTTTAACTGAGGCAGACCAAACATCACCGCCCGTTTCGTAGGTGAAAGGCTTCAAAGATAGCACATTATCGAAGAAAAAAGGCCGTCCAGTTAAAGTAAAAATGCTTTTAAGCAGTGAATCCCTAAGCCAACGTCTTCACCAGCAGTCCAATAAACGATTTATGTAAGCATGGGCCATGGAGCACACACTTTATATAACGTAGCGTCTAAGCTCCA